TAGATGGCTTATGGGATAGTTTTTATGTTTTGAAGCTGTTGAGATATTTAAAATATCAGTTTAAACTTCAAGACCTTCTAGTGCTGTACTTTTGGTTTTTATTTTATTACCAGGTGGCATCAAAAGGAAACAACTGCATTAATGTCAATGACTTATAGTGTCCTTATTATTATTCACGTCATCACAACATTGTCATACAGGCACAAGACTCACATGATTCTGAGCTGTTGCAGTTAAATATTTCAAACTACATTGATTATATTCTTTCTGTCTTCTGTTCAGTCAGTGACCTTAATAAGTTAGTTCAACAGCCAGATAGGCTTCATATCGCTGTTCAGTTGATCGAAGATATGAGTGTCTGAGAACAAGACACAGTGGAGTAATAACCTGAAAACACTGCAACTTCTTACTTAATGGAAACACAATTGATTTTAAACCAAGAATCAACAGGCACCCAGATAGCTCAGCAGGTTGGGTGGGCGACCCATCAACAGGGGCTGTAGTCCCTGATGCAGAGGTCGTGGGTTCCAGTCCGGCCCATGACCATTTACTGCAGGTCCTTCCCCCCACTCTTCTCCCCATATTTTCCTGTTTCTCTCTCTACTTTCAACTACAATAAAGGCTAAAAAAGTCCAAAAACACAACAAACATATAAAAAAAAGAAAGAATCAATCAAAAGACACGAAAACAACAATCTAAATCAAATCTGATCCAACATGTATGTAAAATCTCTGATTCAAAGGCAACTGACAACAACAATGAACACATAAATATAGTGGTGTAAGAGTTTACCACTATATTTGAATTGGACCACAGATTAAATTTAACTGAAATATGACCCCTTGTGAATAAACTCACATTATAGTAATCTAATCATGATGACAAACAAAGATCACAGGAAATTTTAGAACAGTACAATAAAGTTAGAATTCTACAGATTTCTTATTGTGTAGAGTGAATCATGTAAAGTACAAGTCATTTACCTGAGCTGTGAGATATAAGGCAGACACTGCAGGAAACTCCTCACTTCACTCTCTTCATGTGAGCAGCCTGTCAGTTCCACTTGTTTCTTCTCTGACTGGAGTTTCAGCACTTCCAGGAGAATGGAGGTCTTTCTCTCTGAGAGATCTATGAACCAGACTTCAGGACCAGACTGGAAAACTGACTGTAATGATGGAAGGACACTTAAACCGGTTTTCGTTTCACAGTTCTTCACATGGGAGCACAGATCCAGCAGGGTATTACACTGATGTATAATATCATCATCAAAATCCATGTATATGTCACGAAAAGGAAATGTTTTATAGGTGCACACTGATGATAACAGCTCCACTATCTTCTCTCCTGTCTGCTGTTCTCTCTCTGCTGCTGCACAGAACAGATCCCCCAGCAACCTTGTGAAGTCATCACGTTTTGACCACTGACGAACACTGCAACAATAAGAAGGAAACACTTTGATGATTTGATCTCAGTTGTACAAATACAGCCACATCTTAGAGATTATACCTGTTTTATCTGTGCAGTCATTTATTTATTTATTTGACAAGAGACATTGCACATTAATCAACATTGTACAATGTAAATGTGCCTGAATTAGCTAAATTAAACTAGTTTTCATCGGTAGTTCCTTTGGCAGTTGTCAAAGCCAGCATAAAAAAATGTAAAAAAAAATTAACATCACATAACAATTTACACATATAATAAAAATACAGGGAAAAGCAAAAACATGCAACCAATATATTTACATGTCCTGTGACAATTAGTGCTCACAGGTCTGTGTCTCTAGCAGCCACCTTTTGGTCTTCCTTTTGAATGAAAACAATGATGGAGACTCTCTTATCACTTCAGNAACTGCAGTATTTTACATATATTCATGTGATTTACCTCAAATGTGAGATATAAGGCAGACACTGCAGGAAACTCCTCACTTCACTCTCTTCATAAAAGCAGCCTGTCAGCTTCACTTGTTTCTTCTCTGATTGGAGTTTCAGCACTTCCAGGAGGATGGAGGTCTTTCTTTTTGAGAGGTCTAAGAAACAGACTGCAGGACCAGACTGGAAAACTGACTGTAATGATGGAAGGACACTTAAACCTGTTTTAGTCTCACAGTTCTTCACATGGGAGAACATGTCCAGGAGGATATTACACTGATCACCATCATTCCTGTGTATGTCACGAAAAGGAAATGTGTCATAGGTGCACACTGATGATAACAGCTCCAGTGTCTTCTCTCCTGTCTGCTGTTCTCTCTCTGCTGCTGCACAGAACAGATCCCCCAGGAACCTTGTTAAGTCATCACGGTTTGACCACCGACGAACACTGCAACAATAAGAAGGAAACACTTTGATGATTTGATCTCAGTTGTACAAATACAGCCACATCTTAGAGATTATACCTGTTTCATCTGTGCAGTCATTTATTTATTTATTTATTTTATTTTTTTGACAAGAGACAATGCACATTAATCAACATTGTACAATGTAAATGTGCCTGAATTAGCTAAATTAAGCTAGTTTTCATCAGTAGTCCCTTTGGCAGTTGTCAAAGCCAGCCTAAAAAAATGTAAAAAAAATTAACATCACATAACAATTTACACATATAATAAAAATACAGGGAAAAGCAAAAACATGCAACCAATATATTTACATTTCCTGTGACAATTAGTGCTCACAGGTCTGTGTCTCTAGCAGCCACCTTTTGGTCTTCCTTTTGAATGAAAACAATGATGGAGACTCTCTTATCACTTCAGGCACTGTATTCCACTGCTGGGACGCTCTAAATGAAAAGACAGCCTGGCCAAACACAGTTTTTCTGCGGGAGAGAATGCAGTCCTCCCTCACTGCCCCCCTGGTTACTCTGCCTGTACTCGATCTAAAATTAATAAAGTCATTCAGTGAAGGGGGAGCAGAACCAGTTTTAATTCTGTACATTGAACAAATATTTTTAACTTTACCAGGT